AAAACTCTATGATTCGAATATATTCGAGTACTCTTCGGAGTTTGACTCGCGAGTCACGAGTTAACACGAGTCCAGTCCCTATCACGTGTATAACAAGCCAATTTTTATTGGGCGATTTTTTTAATTTGAATTAGACCATAGATTAATTTCATGTGATTGTGAAATTTTTTTTAATTACATCAGATATATAACGATAAAAAGTTGTATTTAATGCTAATGGCCAAAAATGCATTCGTTTACCAGAGTACGGCCTTTTTCAGGGCTTCGCCCTGTATTGCATCGGTCTTCAGGAATTTCACATTTCACTAGGGGTTTAGCCATTGCGTCTAATAAATCTACCTTGGGTTTTGAAGCAACTTCTGTGAAAAAACCAAATCGGCCGATTTATCTTGATCTACAAGCTACAACTCCTACTGACCCGCGTGTACTTGATGCAATGATGCCATATTTGACTCAACAATATGGTAATCCACATTCAAGGACTCACGCATACGGATGGGAAGCTGAGAAAGCAGTTGAACAAGCCCGTGTAGTAAGTTAATAAAATTTGCAATTTATATAACAGGTTGAAAAACTTGGTATATTTCTTTATATTTATATTTCTTTAATTAATAGCATGTAGCCACTTTAATTGGTGCAGATCCAAAAGAAATAATTTTTACTTCAGGTGCTACAGAATCGAATAACATTAGTGTTAAAGGCGTTGCTCGATTTTATAAAACTAACAAGAAGCATCTTATCACAACTCAAATTGTACGTATTAAAAAAAAAAATTTATTTTTTATTTTTTTCGATTATTTAAAGTTAACTTAAATAATTATATAATAACTTATTTTATTCAATTATATTTAATAGGAACATAAATGTGTCCTTGATTCATGTCGAGTTCTTTCCGAAGAAGGGTTTGATATTACTTATTTACCTGTTAAACCATCAGGTCTTATCGATCTGAATCAATTTGCTGAATCAATACGTCCTGATACTTCATTAGTGTCTATAATGATGGTTAACAATGAAATTGGTGTGAAACAACCAACTAAAGAAATTGGTCAAATTTGTCGTTCGAAAAATGTTTTCTTTCATACAGACGCTGCGCAAGCATTTGGAAAAATTCCCCTTGATGTTAATGACATGAATATTGATCTGATGAGTATTTCAGGTCATAAAATTTACGGTCCAAAGGGTGTAGGTGCTTTGTATGTTCGTAGAAAGCCAAGAGTTAGAGTTGAGGCTCTACAAAGTGGTGGTGGGCAAGAAAGAGGATTGAGGAGCGGAACTGTGCCTACACCGTTAGTCGTAGGGTTGGGTGAGGCTTGCAGAATCGCTAAGGAAGAAATGGAGGTTAGTATAAATTGCTGTATGTCAAATATAATAGTGCAGAGTATAATGAATAAAGAGCCATTCAAATCTAATATTTTATTAATATATATATTATTAATTTGTTGTAGTATGATGACAAACGTGTTAAAAAACTTTCACAGAGACTAATTGACGGAATCATGGGAAAAGTTCAATACGTAGTTCGCAATGGTGATCCAAATTCGGGTTATCCAGGTATTAAATCAAGGTTCTTGGTTTTGTTTTATAGATTTTTTCTTTCTTGCTGAAGATTATGGTGTTTCTAGGCTGTGTAAATCTCTCATTTGCCTATATTGAGGGCGAGTCACTTTTAATGGCACTTAAAGATATTGCACTTTCTTCTGGTTCAGCATGTACATCTGCATCCTTGGAGCCCTCATATGTTTTACGTGCATTAGGTGCCGATGATGATATGGCACATTCAAGCATTAGATTTGGTATAGGAAGATTTACTACAGAAGAGGAAATTGATTTTGTTGTGAACAAAGTTGCACAACATGTTGACAAACTAAGAGAAATGTCACCACTCTGGGAAATGGTGAGTACAGTATAAAGTTTTATTTTGATTTGAAATGTTAATTGATAATTAACGTTAATTGATAATTTTTTTAGGTTCAAGAAGGCATAGATTTGAAGTCAATTCAATGGAGTCAGCATTAATTTTTGGAAGTTTTTGTAACAAAATGTTATAATATATAAAACAAAGGGAAATTCTATTTTCACCCGGGTTAAATTCATCCGAAAAAATATTACTAATATTAATAATTTTAGTTACATAAATTACATTATAATTTATCGGGTGATTTTAACCCGGGTGAAAATATAATTCCCCTCAAAAAAATATCAATATCAATATGTAAAAATACAATTACTAAGCCCTCTCAAAATGATCCGCATTAATTTTGAATGTGAATTACAGTCAACCCTTTCTAAATACATAATCGAAGGGCCTATATTGATATAACGAATATAGAGGTAAAAATCTATAAGTATCATATGAGTTTGGGCCAAGCAGAGCCATGCGTTTTTATGCATTTAGAAAGGTTGCATTTAGACTGTATTTAGTTTAATATTGCATTTTTTTTCTCATAAGTTATTGTCCTGCATATTTCGATAAGTTGGAGTATTCTTTTTTAGATCAATTTATGTATATTTAGGTTTATATGCATATGCATTTTCAATTAAATTTTTGGATACGTAGTTTAAACATTTTATTAAAATGAATATGTAAGTATTTCACTGTACCATATAACTTTTACAAATATCAACTGTATACGTATATTTACAATAAGAATTTTTTGATAAGAATGTAATCGAGACGGTCCACAAACCAAATCGGGGTTCATAAACGCCATTGTGCATTGAAAAGCAGCGAAATCAAAATTAAATAAATCGACTATTCCAGAACGTTTTCGTTTAATCCAAGATATATATATGTCAGATATTGTAATTACGTAAATTTATTATTATTACGTAAGTTTGGTATTAAATAACCAGAGAAAGCGTTATAGTTCAGGGTTTATAGGTCAGATATTTATCCAGATTACTAATATCTACGTCTTTACCGACATTGGATGATTGAAAATAAGTTCAGACACTATTATCTGGTCAAACATTATTATCTGGTCAGACATTATTATCTTGCGTAAGATGATGCCTTAATTAAATATTAATCACTTAAGATTGGTCCTAGATTTTTCGCAGAATTAGCACTAGTAAGTCGATTGTCACATGCTCATATAAAGAAATCAAAAAAAAAATCAATGGCGGCAAATTACTCTACGGATAATTGAAATTACCGGCATTTTTCGAAATACCAATACAATTTCAATCAATAATCAATAATTACTGTTAAGGATAAGGAGCTTATTCAACTTTATTCACTAAACGCTAATCCTTTTGATGCAACGCGATAATCATGTATCTCAACCGATTGGCTACTTCATGAACCGAGTACATAATTACTTATAGATATTGTTACCAAATCTGTAATGATAAGTAATTATTACTTACCATTCTGTAAAACTATTCGTATTGCTGTATGTATATATATATAACACCTGAATTGGGAGTAAGTGCATACTATGTACGTCATACTTTGAAAGAGAATAATACATGGTTTAAAGGCGGAGTTTATATCATATTTAATAATATACAGTATATATAGTTATTTGCGTAAAATGTAGTTTTTTTTTTTTTTTTTAAAGATTTATTAGTGCAGTTTTATGATTACAAATATAGAAATCAGGAATATTAAGTAATTGTCTTGTTCATCCACAGTTCAAATGATCCGCACATGCAAGATATTGGCAACACAAATTTAGAACACGTTTTAAGTTGAGCAAAAACGTTTCAATCCATAATGATAATGGATAATATTAATTTTAATATTAATGTTTAAGTGCACTTTAAAATAAAATACACAAGATTTTCATAAACCTGAGCGAGAGAACAAGTTTTATAAAGACTAAAAATTACGTGATACTTATCTACACTAAAAGTTCAGGTGTTCAAAGACATTAATTATGTTTTGACATGAATTGTGTTTTGGATATGACCACCTGATTTTTAATTTAACAATCACACAAAATTACCACTCCTAAAAAAGTAAACTATCTACAGGCATACGTATTTATCAATGGCGCTATATATCATTATCGATGGTGTTATTTATCGTTATCTATTCGAGTGATACAGTACCAAAGAAAGACCGATAAACCAATTTTAAGCTTGCTGGACCTGATGACTGCAGTAGTAATGAAAATTAAAAAAAGACAAAAAAAACAAATCAACCTTGCTTGCGGGTTTTTCCACATTTATTGTAATTAACATTTTTTTTTCTTCTGTATATTTAAAACATTCTATTCTATGTAGTATACTGTACACCTCTGGCCCTGATATGTGCTATAGGTAATAGGAAAGTTTACGTAGCAACGGTATTTTGAGTGTTTTAAGTATGAGTACGTACGTGCCAAACATTTTTTTTAAGTTTTGGTCAACTCAATAAAATATTAGTGTATTAGGCCCAAACAAAAATTGTGGTTCACTCAATACCAATTTTAATTAAACTATCAAGTTATTACATATAGTTATTACAATTATAACACTAGGTCTCTTAAATTTTGAGTTAATATAATATCTGAAAAATGCATGAAATAATTTTGGAATTAAAATAAAAAGAATTGAGGAAAAAAATATAAAATTATGAATAAATGAAATACCTGTTACACTGCCCATTATATGTCTTAACAAGTTTGTATCAGTGGCGTTCGTAAAATGAGTATATATTTCTTTTGAATCACTTCGATTAAGTCGTTGAAATCTACGTTTAAAATAATTTGATGCAGATTTAAAATCTTCATTTTGGCCTAAAATAAGATGAGTTAACCCAATTATTATTAAGATTATATTGAATAAATCCATTCGACCATAAAGATATATTTTACCTGTATAGTCAGGAAAATATTTATTGACAGGTGATATTGATATTTTTTCCTTGAAAATATCAATCTTGTTCAAAAACAAGATCATCGAAGTATTTACAAACCATTGTGAGTTACAGATAGAATCAAAAAGCATTAAAGCTTCTTGCATTTGATTCTATAAGATTCGATCATAAGATTAATTTAAAAATTAAAGGTTAAAAATTTTAAATATAGCATAAAAATGAAAATTAATATACAAACTTACAGCATCTTTATCTTCAACTAAACATTGATCATAACCGCTAATTGCCACTAAGAACAATACAGCTGTGACGTCTTCAAAACAATGAATCCATTTTTTTCGTTCAGATCTTTGACCACCAACATCAAACATTCTAAGATATATAAAATTAAATGAGAAGTGATAATCAATATATCAAAAATATAAATTATTACGTGCATTACCTGTATGTTAATGGACCTAGATGAAATATGGTTTCAACAATTCCTGTGGTCTTCATTCGACAACGCAAGATATCCTGGTTTGTTGGCGTATAAGATTGGGAAAATACCCTGTCTAGCGACTCAAAAAAACTTGAAAAATTTAATCCAAGAGTGAATAAATGCGTATTGAACAATAATAAACAATAATCAACAATAAAATTAAAATTACATACTATGTCATATTATCATGCAATGCATATTGGTTACCCATCATATAACATTTTTGTACACCATTATCATTCCATAGAGATTTTAATGGTTCTAAATAATTTACTGGAAAAGGTTGGTTTTTTGAAATGGATGGAGGAGTATTAAACAACGAAACGTAATGCTATATAGAAATATTTGGTCAATAAATATATAAATTCACGCGTTAAATATTTAGGAGAGACCGAAAGAAAAGCAAAAGTACCATATTTGAAGGATCGCCAAATGGTATTTTGTAATATTCCATTGCCTCAAGAACCAAACTCATTGAATCCATGATATTCAAAAGTACGATTGATCTATATGTTTCTCGTTCGACAGAATTAAATCCGGATGCATGAATAAGACGCATCTGTTTTAGAATTGTACTTTTACCGGATTCTCCAGCACCTTATTAATGAAAAATTTACGATAATTAATTCTAGCGTTATTAAAGTCATTTAGTCATTTAATAGTTTTAAAAAAATACCCAGTAAAAGTAATTTGACTTCGGTTTTCATTTTCTTTTCATCTTCTTTGATGGATTTATTTATACGCCTATTGGTGGCGTCACCAGATCCACAATTTCCCATTCTTTTTGAATTTTCTTTTTTATAAAAGGAATTTTTACTTGCTTTTAATAAATGATAAACCGAAAGGAATAGATATATAACACGTAAGCCACACAAATAGATAAGCAAAAAAAAAAAACCCCTCCAAAACTTGAATAAAAGAAGAGGAAGTAGAAGAGAATAAACGGGGAAAGAAAAGAAAATTTTTAGAATTAAATAAACAGAAAATTGAAGGGGGATGTACATTATATGTGACACGTATTTTTATATTTCCCGATATCGATATACCGATACATGCAGGATTTTGTCTTGTCATTGTGCAACCGAGTTTAAATAATGGCCGTTAAAAAAAGGTGCTCGAATAGTTGTCATAGTATAAATTCAAATTGAGGGTCTTTGAAACAACAAAGGAGTTAGTAAGCATTAATCACCTATGTAAGAAGTATATTGGATAAAAAAAAACGCACAAACATAAGTTTCACGTATTCCGATAAATTTAAAAAAAGAATTTAAGCATCCAATCTCTGGTGAATTTTCGCATCATCTGGTTCTATTCAAAAATAACCAAATTTGAAATTTGGATAAAACGCCGGGTGATACGAATCACATAATTATTATAAACTAGATCCCTTCTTTTCCCAGACAATCGAAGTCTTTGTTAATACAGCAGTCTTTATATTTTTTGGCATTGAAGGGATAAACATAAACAATATAATACATATAAAGTACAATAAGTATTTTTTTTTTGTTCTCTCACGAAAACTTATTGAAAAGCATGCGGTTATGAAAGGAATTAAAACGGAAAATTGACCAAATTTTTATTTGTTATGATTTTATTATATAATTGAATTTATTTAATTCCTGAA